GCGTTTCCCAACAAGCGGAAAAGTAAAATCCAATTTGTGGCTTCACACACAACCTTTTTCTTGAACAAGGATTAAAGAAAAACTCGGTGAGTAGCTCCGACCAGCAGACGTAGCCTTAGCGCTATTCTCCTTCTCTATAGTTCTCAACTCAAGTTCACAAGCACTAAACAATCTCATAGTGCCACCTACTGATATTCTTTGGGAACAGCAGTTCATTTTCATGAGGCAAATTTTAGGTGGGTTACAAGACAAAATGTGGATTTTACAGCAGTAAAATGATTGTATCTCTACAGTTTAAAAATGTAATAAGCTTTGCCCTGCACAGAGTGGATAGTGAAACAAATGGAATCATCATAATGACATTATTTCATATTTATTACTTCCCCCTCCTCTTTGCTTTATTATTGTAGCTCTAGTAATAAATAATAATGTAAGGATTCTGGATCAGCACAGTGATGCCCATAGTATATACAGTATTCTGAAGAAGGTCTAAAATGTCACTGTGTGTGCATGTGTGTGTTTTATTTAGATGGATTTAAAAAAAAAAAATTACTCATGATATAACATTGTCCAGACATGGCTGGTAAGGACATGAGGAGGAAACAGCAGGAGCTGTGTGAGGCTACTAAAGGCAGGGCTACAACATTTTTCTGTCATCATTTAGATTAAGTGCAAGAGTTGTTAGGTGTGGATAATTAGATTATAGTTTATTGCAATAGCAAGTTGTGCCTTGTTCTCAGATAGACAGCAAGTGGAGAGTGATATATGAAATGATGGGATGGAAGGAAGAAGAGAAGCAAAGAGTGATTCACAGACAGAGCCTAAATTATTTCTCACAGTTTTTCGTTGCCTTATGGTTCCAAGCGCTGTCACCAATCTTTGCACTTTGTTATTATCTCATGACACTTGTTTAATCAGCTACCACCTCTCCTATGGACTTTTTAATGTCTACAGTCTCAGATCAACACAGCCCTGCCCTTCCCATATTAGATTCTTGATGAATGTGTGTTGTTGTTATTCAACCTGGTTCAATGTGCCCCTTTTTAACTTTGAGCACCCGCCCCTTTAAACCTCTCTGCACGGCCCTGATAAGGACCCTTTCTTCAGCACAAGAAATAGTAACATCAATCATAACGTGGAGCATATGTTACAGGAACACAGTGTCGAACTGCCTGCTCTGTGCTTGACATCAGATATACCGTGTCCAACAACCTAAATGCTAAATGCCTCAGGAAGATTCCCCTGAGGGGAGGAGATGCAGTATTTCTGTCTGACTCTCAAGAGAAGAGCCTAAAAGGGGAAGTGTGTGTGTGTGTGTGTGTGTGTGTGTGTGTGTGTGTGTGTGTGTGTGTGTGTGTGTGTGTGTGTGTGTGTGTGTGTGTGTGTGTGTGTGTGAGCAAACATTTTAATATATATTATGAAGTAGTCCTCCTTGGTCTGTGCAGATACCAGCCTATGTAGCTGCACAGACATGTAGCTGCATGTATTTCTTTGGTGCTATAAATGAGGTCACGACGGATGTTTGTGCATCCCTTTGATTCTGGCAACCAGGTTGCTACCAATTTATGCCAGACTGGTTCCAGCTTCACACAGTGACTGAACTGTATGGATTCGAGCTCCTCTTGGAGCCAGATATTGCACGGGAGCCTGATGGTGTGCATTTGGTGGACAAACCTTGGTCTGGTGGCACCTGGTCAGGCACACGCCAAGCTCCCACATTTTGAAACCCCTACGCTTTAGGCTATAACCATTGGAATGAAGTGCTATAAGATACACGGCGGGTAAGGAAGGATGAAGATCACCTGCCCATACGCTCAGAAATGCAAAGCCAGATATAAACAAGATTCAGACTTGCTCCTTTCTTCTCTGTTAATGAATCATTTAACATTGGCTAAGGCAGAAAACTGCCATGTGGTCTGATGTGTCAAAATTTCAAATCTTTTATAAAACTGATGGACACTGCAACTTTCCATCAGGAGAAAAAAGAAAGACGCTAGTGTAGTAGCCTAACAGCACCACCCTGTGGTTGGAAAATGCACTTACACCAGCAGTTATACAGACTCGTCTATGAAAACAAAAGATTTATTTTACTCTTGTGAAAATCAAGTTTTGTGCTCCTCTATCTTTGACTAATGAATAATGTGCACAAATGTAGAATTTTAATGTGCAATGAGATAAAAACAGCATCTGTGACACAAAAGATAACCTGGCATGAGTGGACTTACAGACTCACAAAGCACTGTAGGATAATCTGAGCTACATCAACCTGACTCTACCCACAGATTAAGATTAAAAGGGATTAAGATTTGGATACGTCATACAGTTATCACAATGTGGAAATTTAATCACATACAGTGATGCAGCACCCAGTGGTTTTGCGTTGGTTTTGTGTGTGTGTGTGTGTGTGTGTGTGTGTGTGTGTGTGTGTGTGTGTGTGTGTGTGTGTGTGTGCGTGCATCACTGACGTCTGCTATACATGAAGCACTTCATACACCTTTGACAGATCAGCCTAATGCTAAATGTTTCAAGCATGGCTGGCCACACTCTAGTCTTAACATCAGTTGTGAACTAGATTAGCAATGAAAGAAAAGAAACTAGAGTGCTGCTATATATACACTGCTTATGTGCAAACCATGTGCCTGTAAGCCAAGTTATTCCTGACCCTGGAAACAACTGCTATTAAAGATTTTATTGTCCACTTACTTGATTGATTTCTTGCTTTTGACCCCATTGCTTTATCCTCCAATAACAGAGTAACGTTTCCTCCTAGAAATCAAATGCTCACTGCTACAAGCTTAGTGAAGTATGGCTGATAGCCCGTAATAGCTACTGCTGTGAGTGGGTTTATAGATTTTATTCTTCATTAAAAACTGATTCCAGTGTTTTGGGGCTGCCAGTCCTGTCACAGAGAGACGTTTGAGTGCAAGCTGGATCTTAAGGAAGCACTCAAAGTATTTTAGGTGGAATAAAGTCATGCAAGCAAATTCTTAAGATGGAAAACAGAACAACAACAATCAGCATGATCACCACAAACTGTATGTAAGAGACCAGCACAAAGTCACACATTGGTTTTTGCTAGCAGTCAGTGTTTAGGCCATGTTGAGGGGGGTTGAGTCAGAAGTGCACATATTTGTACAAGAGGGTCGAGTGCTAAGTTATCATGCTTAGATATCAACAAGCAACAGTAAAGTTTGCAAAGCACACTAGTCACAAATACCTGCTCACTGGTGCTAAATAGCCGAGCATACATATATCAGAATTGAACTCACCAAGAGCACAGACCTCTAGGATAGGCTGTTTGTATTAGCAACAAAGCATTATTTGTTAGATAATTCCGACAAAAACACACCTAAAAAGGACCAGCACCACAAAAACAGTGACTCCACTTAGTGGAGGAGAGGTTCTGCACACAGCAAGGCCACAAGTCACCACTTTTAGGATCCATCTGTCAGTCTAAGAAGCCACACCCCTAACTTTAAGCCTTAATAGAGTATAAAGGCTGCATTATAAAATAATCCCAGGCTGCCAGACCACACAGTAGTTACAAAAGGGCAAAAAGCGGTGGTGGGGGGTTTTCTTTTTGCCAAACTCTAAAAAGGCAGCTGACACAAAGTCAGCTGTTGGACATTTAACTTGGGAGTGTTTGGGGGTTGATTAAATCCTGTTGGATTCGTTTTTTCAAACTGGGAGGTCGTCTCTTAGCAACCACAAGTAGGAGGAGGAGTGGCCCTAGTATAGAGCCTTGCTGAACTCCTGCAATTATTTTCAACTTCAGTAATCAGAAAATATATTTCACAATTAATGACAAAGTGCCCAAAATATTTGTAAGTTTGAATTTCTGTGACAGTCAAGCAAATTAGAAATTTATTAGTAAGTGCCTCCCACCTGACACCCACAGAATCAGATATTTTTTTTAGTATAGCAACTTTGGCGTAACCGTTGAAAGCATACAAAAATTTACCATTACATTTTTGTTTCTTAGATGCAGTAACGGTCCTCAGGTCTGAGTTGGCTGTTTTTCATTTATTTACATATTTATTTTTAATTAAATTTTCATTTATTTATTTATCTGCAATCTTAAACGTTCATAACTTCTTAAATATGGGGGGATTAGCATTAGCATTAGAAGAAAAACTGAAACAGAGCTTTCTGGGTAAATGTTAAAGGATAACAGCATGTGGGACAGGTATAAGCGGCTGGTCAAACCAAGTTATAGTATATGAAAGTTCTTCTTTTAATCTACACTTTGACACCAGACTTGTCTTCTGGCTGTGACTCCTTCCATTTGTTGAATACAGTACACTCATTTTTTCATTTTTAACACTCACTTTGGAGCCTTCAGTGCTTTCAGTGTTATCCTTTCAAATTTTACCCTGGTAGTATTATGTTCTTGATGCCCACCTCGTTTACTTCAGTGTTTCCTGTAACCGAGACAGGTATTAAAAGAAAAATAAAAAGCTGATTCTGAGGGGTTAACAACTGGCAGACTGGATTCATTTAATATGGAATGATCCTGTTACAGTGCATCCAATTTTGCAGTCATATACAGTAATACAATCTAAAACCAGAACCTGGACAGCAGCTGCCATCTAACCTGCAGAAAAACAAAGAAACAATACAATCGAACTTTTACACTTTCTTCATCTATGTGTTGTTCAAAAGTTTTGCCAAACAGATTTTTCTGTGTGCTGAACATGTGCACATCGATTGCGTGACTGACTGCATTATAACTGGCGCTATAACTTCTACTTTACTTTGTGGAACTTTGCAGTAGTTAAAAGGATGGGTGGGGAGGGGAGGAAGGGAGTTGGATGGTGGTGAGGGGGAGGTGGGGAGTTGGATGGTGGGGTGGGGGAGTGGGGAGTTGGACGAGGTAGAGGCGTAGCACCAGGGAGGGGTGGGGCGGGAACTATGGAACCCGGATGCTGATGCTGACCCATGAAAAGGAGGAGGAGGAGTGTAATAGGTGGAGGAAACAAGAGGGGTAAAAAACGGGTAGCGGCAGAGTAGAGGAGGACATCCCGTCAATGATAAACACTCCCATGGATGCGGCCAACTTCGGACTACCTGAAAGACTCGAAACTAAAATGTTTTTACTTATTTAGCGTTTTTTTTCTGCTCCTTGTGCACGAAGCAGCCGGCTAAGGGAGGAGATGCGGTGATATCATGAGCAAAACCGGCCAGCGAGAAAGAAAGGAAAGACAGAGAAGAAGAGAGAGGGAGGGGGAGAGGGAGCAGGGGAAGAGGAGAGGCGGGGAGTCGGCTACCACCAGGCCAGCTGAGGATGCTTGTTGTTTCTAGAAGCGGGATTAATCACCGGGTTGAGCGCTGATCCTTCCCCCGGCGCACCGAGCGCACCTCTCCACGCTGCAGCTGTCCCGAGCCAGCACGCCTTTCGGCCGTCTGGCCCGGTCTGCCCCCGAGGCTGTTTGCCTTTTTGATGCTCTTCCCCCTCTTCCTCTATTTCCTGATGCAGGGCCGGGGAGGGGGCGAGCCAAAGTGTGCACCGGATATTGGAAAACCCATTCTTCTTGCTGATGCTGTTTGTGATAATAGATTGTTATCTGGGCAACGCCGCATCTACACAGAAAGGCAGATTGTGACCAAATGAGGCCCGACTTGACAGGAAGAGGGGAATGTATGGGCTCGGGAGGATTATGAAAACAGTTTTTTTGGACGGCAACAGAAGAACGGGGGTCCCTGATATCGATCAGGGCATTCTGGCTTCGGATATTTGAGACTGCTCTTACAGAAATCAATCTGTGGCAAATGTAGCCTTCCTGTCCAGGTCTGAATGAGATTTTTCGTTACTGCTGTACTCTTGGCCAGCTGAATAAGCTATATAGGATCAGTCAGCTTTAAACTACAGTTATTTATAGCAGGGGGGTGGGTTTAATGTGACTGTTCGCACCTCTGTGGACATCTCCCATCTCTGGTACCGGCTAAACCTCACACGTCCTCATCTCTGATCTTTTCCTACCTTTCCCTTGAATGATGCCGCTTCCTGTGCTTTGGTAACACTGACTTGAAAGACTCTGGATTTACAGAGTGGAAACAGGACCGGTTCTCACTCCTGACCGCATGACAAACAATTGCATGGGAGTAGCCTGCGAGGCCCGGCTTTAGATCACGACCAGTCCGCACCTCCTCTCTTCTCCTTTCCTCCTCTCTGCACCGCCGTATAGCCGCCTGTAATGTGCGTTACGGCATTACGCACGGAGCAGGAGCGAGCGCTATCTTGATTTGCCTTATATCTGGAATAGAATTTCATCTCGGGAAGGATGAGCAGCAAAGAGCTGACGGTGGGCCAGTCCAGTCAGTTTGTGGGGCCTTACCGGCTGGAGAAGACCCTCGGGAAGGGACAGACAGGTAGGCACCCTGCAGAGTAACGCAAAAAACAGGGCGTCTGCAAGGTGCGCCGGGGTGTAACACCCCACTGCAAAGCTACTTTAACATTTCTGTAATATCGAAGCTCATGGTTTAATCCGTATTTATTCTGTACACTAAGTCTTCTCATCTCCTGTAGTTTTATCCCTCCACGGCCTTCTTAAAGGGCCTCCCAAAGGCTAAACATTTTTGAGGAGGTTTCTGAGAATGGAGATAACTCTAAGTCAGTTTTTTGAAGCTGAGTTGGAAGAATAAAGCTTTTTGAATTAATCATGACGTCCCTTCCTTCCTGTTATTCACACCGCATCATGATCTGCGATATTCAGATGCTCTCTTCTCCTCCCTCTGTCTTGCTTCTCAGGACTTGTGAAGTTGGGTGTCCACTGTATAACAGGGCAGAAGGTGGCCATAAAGATCGTCAACAGAGAGAAGCTCTCTGAATCGGTTCTAATGAAGGTACAGCACTCCAAATTCACCTCATCTACTTATCCAGCTGTCTTTCTAGCTGTGCCGTGCATATAGTCACTGTGGCTGTCATTATGGTGGCTGCCAAGCTCAAATCATGTTAAGCTTGCACTCTGCAGAAATAGCAGCAGAAAATTAGTCTTTATTTTTGTCAAGAAAAGCCCGGCAGTGTGTTGGAACTTGGAGCTGCCGAGTGTGTGTGGGCACTGCTTCTGTATACCGAACAATAGGGATGATTTCATTCTGCTAATTAAGCCCTCTGATGAAAGCAACTGCAGCAGAAATACACTGGACTGAACTGAAATCTAAATAGCTTGTTCATGTTGGCGTTTTTAATGTGGTTGATTGCTTGGAGCTTTACAGGGTATGTCTTTTTTAGAACTGGCAGGTTGCACAAGGCACACTTTAGGCGCTAGACGTGCAGCACGGTGCTAGCATATGTTTTAAGATGTGCAAAAATGTCAGCATCCTAAAAACACCGGATAGCTCAAGATTTCATGGTGAGGCAGATATATATCACACATCTGGTATGTTTGGCTTAAACATCACGAACCTGCTCCTGTCCCATTTCCATGTGTGTGTTTATTTTATCAGAACAATACAAAATAATGTTTTCTTTCTATAGTCTGATAACTGTGTTGGGAAAAAAGCAGCATTCACCAATAGCACGTGACAAATGCCCTGAATCACTCAAGCTTAAAAAGGCACAAAATTCAAGGGATGAACCAGTGCTGTGTCCACACATAACGGACAACTTAGCAAAGAGTTAGTGCTAGTGCTGCAAAAACACATAATTTGTACCAATTTCTTTAGCTGAATATGCAAAATGAAATGTCAAAGAACAGTTTGACAGACAAAAATAAATAAATTTTTGCACCAACAAAGTGATTCCAAAACATGGCAAATCTTGTCATGTGTGGTGTGTCTTTAAAAACAAGTGGTGGACAAAAGAAATGACAGGCCTAAAAACTATCTGCAGTCAATGACCTGAAGAAGGAGAACCATCTCAGAAACGCAAAAGAAGTCTAGGTGGCTCTCTTTGAAACTTGAACAATATCTGAAAGTTGACCTCACTTGTATTGAAGCAGAGTGGAATCATGCTGACAGACAACAAAAGGCAGCCAGTTTCCAAAGAAGATTTTTTTGATGTCCTTCAAGAAGCCTTGAGGACTATTCCTGAAGACTAGTTTAAGAAATGACAAGAAAATGGCCTCAGAGAGTTCAGACTATGGTGAAGAATAAATGTGGTCATACTAAATGCTGACTTATATTTAGTATGACCAATATTTTTTTTACGTCATATACTGTATTGCTGTACATTTTTGAATGTTTCAATAAATTGCTGCTCATATTTCCCAATTTCCTACCAAAATATAAAGATATCACTGTGTGGCTACAGACTTTTTCATATATGTTTAGTTTTATGCTGTCTTAAAATATATTTCTTGCGTCACAGTCCTGTTGTATTCAATTAAACCAAGCAGTTTTTCATAGATGTGTTTTACATAGACAACAAGTAGTCCTTAAATGGCCTCACAAAGGTCTTTGTTTAAACTTTTAGGGCATTTCAGACTATATTTTTCAGCTGTAAAGTTTATTTAAAAGACAGTAGACATGACATGAATTTACTGTCCAGCAATCAATCTTCCAGTGTGGAAGGAAAATCAATGCTGCGCCTAGTTCTCTGCCACGTGTTCTGCTCTATAATAGGTCATGCTGTGGACAGCTACTAGAGCTGAATGAATGAATAAATATTTAAAAGGAACACTTAAAATTACATTTCTTTTAAAAAATAGGCATCCATATTTTCATGTATTGTAATAAAACATAAGCAATAAGCATAAAAAGTTTAGCAATAGCTAATATGAGGGCTGTCTGCCCCTGTCTAAGGAAGTACAAGTACTGAATTTAGTCAGATAAATCTTGAGAATGGCCTTTAGACAGAAAAACTAGCTTTTTTCTTTGGTTTCATCATATTTGACTGATCAAAGATTAATAAAAAAAAGTGTGACTATATAAGTTTTACAGAAAACTGCTCCTGGAATCAACTGACACGGCCTGGTCTCAAGGCAAAATGTGAAACAGTCACCGAAAAGAAATATTTTGGTTCATTTAAACACAGGTAATGTGCTACAATAGGAAGTAGATTTTATGCCTTAAGCTGTGCTCTTTGGACTCTTCAAAAGGGATACGTCACCTTGACAGAGCTTTGAAAAAGTGGCAGCCATATTTGAATCCAAACCGTGTTTTAGTTCATAAACCTAGAAAGTTATTTTGGTTTTCAGATGCTAACCAAACATCATTAACATCAATTATTAATTCTGTGTGGAATTTGAACTATGGTCTCTGAGAGACAAAATGACTCAACCATAGTAGCCCTGCTAGCTAAGAAGCTGCTTGCTAAAAAAGGCTAAAATGTTAGCAGCAAAATTACGTAATTATGTATTTCTTTGGAGGTTTGTTAGCTATGAGTTGTAAATGTTATTCATCCATAAAGCAGGAGTAAAAAAAAACAAAACAAAACACAGGCTCTAAAAGGGGATGCACTAATAATTTGTCAGAATAGCTCTATAAGCTAATACGGGCCTTCGTGAACGATATCTGCGTATTGTCAAAGTAAGATGATATTTACTGCAGCGGTACACGTTTATGTACGGTGACACATCAATTTTGCACTAGTTAAAATGTTCAGAGATGGTGTGGTGAAGAGCTAAAATACTTTTAAAAGGTTTGGTTATTTTTCTATAATTAAAAGTTAAAAGACAAACAAACAAAACAAAAGAGAAGCGGCTGTGCCAAACTGTTATTTTTAACTTGGATAGTGGCCCAGAAATTCACAGTCACACTCTGTACATGCCAAGTCTTTATCTTCATGAAAGTTTAGATAAGACACAGGCTTTAAACTAGCATTTTGATTAGTAACTAGCATAATGGAGCTAGCTTACTACGGCTTTGACCTGCTTACTAGCTTGCGCAAAGTAAATAATGGTATTAGAACAGGGCACATTTGATTCATGATTTCTTAACAATTTCAATTTCAGAACTTTTTGTTCTAAATTATAATTTGTGTATTGCATCTCTACTTTGTTACTATTTCTGATTATTCTGCACTAAATGTAGCACACTATTGAAAAGAAGTTGAAAAACAAGTCTGCCTGTTCTGAATTTTTACCCAACTTTTTTTATATGCTTGTGTCCTCCCTCTTGCTGTCTTACATCATATTTCCCTTCCTCTTCTGTCTGACATTTCCATTTCTATCATTTCTAACTTGCTCTTTTCTCTCTCCCTCTCTCTTAACCTTTCTCTACACCTCTCCCTCCCTCCGTCTGTGCAGGTGGAGAGAGAAATAGCTATTCTTAAACTAATAGAGCACCCTCATGTTCTGAAGCTGCATGATGTCTATGAAAATAACAAATACCTGTGAGTACATCTCTGTGTCTTTCTCCTTTCTGCTGACATAAAATAATCTGCTTCTGGATCTCTGCTAGAGCAGAAACAACACTGAATTAAAAAGGGAAGAATGTTCTGTAAGACAAAAGCGAGATAAATAAGCACATGGCATAGAAGATATACTGCAGAGATAAACCTTTTGTTTTTTATGTTACTTATTTCTTGTCTGTGACCCAGGTACCTTGTGTTGGAGCATGTATCTGGCGGAGAGTTATTTGATTACCTGGTGAAGAAGGGTAGGCTCACCCCCAAAGAGGCCAGGAAGTTCTTCAGACAAATCATCTCTGCCCTGGACTTCTGCCATAGTCACTCCATATGGTCAGTGAGAAGCTACAGGAAACCTTTCTCATTTGTCGTTTGCCTGTTGATGACTTTTCTTTAATGGCTTTAAGAACTAAATCATTCTCAGTTTTTCTGATCCTTTACTTAGTTAAAGTAGCAGTATGACAATTTAAAGATCTACAAGTAAAAGCAGTGCTTACAAACTCCTACTCAAGGAACAGTATGAATATTATCAGATAAATTGCAAGCAAAAATACTGATTCTGCAGATATTTGCCGCCTGGGCCTTACAGGTTGTTATGAATAATAATTAGACCTGGGTTTGTTTTATCTATTTCATATTCAAGCAGCTGGTTTAGCCCACTGGCTCCCAAGATGGAATAAATGAGAGATAATTCATTATTCATTTAGCCACATTCTAGCTTCTCATCGTCTTTTTATAATAGAATTTGGCGAATTAAAATAAATATTATTGAATATTCGTATTTAAATTTATTTCACTTATTTTTATTTAACAAAGAAAAAAGGTAGAGGATTAAAACTCTTTTAGATGAGTGTCCTAGCCAAGAAAGCACAAATGAGACTATGTTAGAAGTTTAAAGGGACCCTTTAAACAGTGGTAGGTGCTCATATTAGCCATTAAACCTTCAAAAACTCAGGTCAGCTAATGTATCTATAGTGCCTATGACTCAAAACACTAATAGTTTCAGATCATTTTTTCTACTCTTGTGTCTTCATGATTTCAGTAAGAGGGAAAGATGCCTAATATGGTCATATCGGGCACCGCCCACTTCCTATTTTGTTGTTTGAGGGGCAGAAAAATTGTCTTAAAGAGAGGCTAGCTTTAAGGAAAGGATTATTTTAAATCATCAGTTGTGGAAAGCTACTCTAGTAGAGTTCTTCAATAAAAAAGAGGATTTGGAAAAGAGCATAATCAGTCCACTTGAATGAGGAATTGTCTCTGGTGGAATTATTACCAAATGCAGATTGAGCCCCAAGGTTTTCCAAACCTATACGCTAGCTGTATGTGATTTTTTTTAGGCCCATCATATACTTCTAATGAAGAATTTTTGTTTGTTAATAAATTGCTGATTGTGGCTGTTAGATAACAGCGATTTTTCAAATTCCTCATTTCATATTTAGTGGTGACTCAAACAAAATTGCACTGTGGATACAAATTTTGGTGACTGTTAGTAATGTGTGGGTAACGTACACTGAACGTGACACATATGCAACTTGATTGGCTTACATGTTTCACTGCTGATTGGCTCTTTGGAGGCATAGTCATGACAATCACCATCTGTGTTTGAATTCTAACACAGGTTGATTTTTTTAGCATTATCTGAGTGCCATGTCACCTGCTTATATAATTGGTCTGATTGAAACCAGTTCCCTATTAGAACCACATGGAGGCTTTCTCTTCCAGAAGCCTAACCTTTAATAAACACTGTGCTATGAATGTTCACGTCAAACTAGTCAACCAAATATACAAATAAGTACCTTTCTTCTTTCTACTTACGGCTTGGAAAAAATACTTCAGTGCTTTCATTGAGTGTTTGTATGTTCAGTCACAGAGACCTTAAGCCAGAGAATCTTCTCCTGGATGAGAAGAACAACATCAGGATAGCAGACTTTGGCATGGCCTCGCTACAAGTTGGGGATAGTCTGCTGGAAACCAGCTGTGGGTGAGTATGGGCAAAGACCACAAAGAAGATTTTGTGGTTCAGTTGTCTTATCAGTTTTATTGTAATGAATAAAACAGATAGCATGTGTGCAGTATCTTAGTATTTTAATGAATTTAAGCAACCCATAAAACATCCATTGTGCTTTTTACATAATCAATGGCAGCATTCACCAAGAGCTCAAACGCTCAGCCCATTGGGAGGAGTGTGGATTTAAATGATAAAATTAGCAACAGATTGTAGGTTTTACCTGGATTCACCTTTTCAGTCCGTGGATTAAAAAGCAGGTGTTCTCAGTTTTTGTACTCTCAGATCACAACACAATCAACATCCATGAAAGCGTTTTTGATATCTTGGTGAATAAAATAATTCTTTCCTTTCAGATCTCCCCACTATGCTTGCCCAGAGGTCATAAGGGTGAGTTACCTACTTTAAATGAATGATGTCTTTTGTGTGTGTTTGCATGTGTAACATTAACCCACTGCGGTGTTTCAGGGTGAGAAGTACGATGGTCGTAGGGCGGACGTTTGGAGTTGTGGAGTCATTCTGTTTGCTCTCCTCGTGGTAAGAAGATTCTCTCAGCTTCTGGGGTTTTTATATCTCTTTCTTATAGTGTGTACTCTTTTCTTTTTTGTATGATTGTACGACTTATGTCTATTTAGAACATTTACTCTTTGAGCTCTCAGTTATTAGCTGTAACCACGTAACCCAAAACTGAACCTTGTGGTTGAGAGATGAACAAAAAGTGCTTCTTTGACGAAAAGAAAGAAAGAAAGCTGGGGACCATATGCTGTACGGTTATTAAAGAGGTCCAGGTGGAATCTGCCCTGAGGCCATATACTGCAGGTCTTCCCCCTGCTCTCCCTCCCAGCTTTTCCACAGTCCTTTCACAATAAATGCTAAACAATGGATAATATTTGATGTGGGTTAATAACAGTGATCTGATTTCCAAGATCTTGGCTGAGGTCTGCCATGTGCTTTTACCCCTGAGGTCACCCTGGGTGATTTGTCCTAACTTTATATCTTGGAGAAAGGCCAAATGGATCATTCTGGAAAAAATCTGAATAGTTTTTGAAGTGTGTTAGAGTTATTTATTTATTATTTTTCTTTGTTTCCTGATTGCCAAGACAAGAGAGAACTACTTAACACGAAGATTGCCCTGGGATGGATTTAGAGTTAGGGTTGGACTGGGTTCGTTACAGATGATGACTTAGAGCTTATCAGTTCGACACGGCAATCGAGGGTCCACTTGGGTCTGAGTGATGTCAATTGTCACATCATAAATGCAAGGTGCCATGCACATGTCTAAGTGCTTTCCAGTTTTTTGGGACTTGTCTGCAAGACACTATACCACATTGCACAAACTAATCCTCCTTAAGGTGGACTTGAAGCAGCCTTGGTTATCAGTGGTGTCCACAGCTTCACATGTTCATGTCCTTAGTCCTCAGGATATCGTAAGGTGTAACGTGTGGAGCTGGTACTTACTCTGAATGTCACCAGCTATTATTAGATGAGATACATCTCAATTTGGATAGAAGAGTTGGACCAAAAAAGCAATTCTGATATCTGTACATAAAGACTTTAAATGGTTAGGGTTGACTGGGAAAACAATTTTGACACAAAGTTGCCAGCTGCAGACTGGTGAGCAGTTCTTCTTTTTGATTAAACCACCAGTACTTCTTAATCTCATCCTTTCTCTCTCCATCGTCTGCCGTCACTTTCCAGGGTGCCTTGCCTTTTGATCATGACAACCTGCGGCAGCTTCTAGAGAAAGTGAAAAGTGGAGTATTCCACATGCCACACTTTATACCTCCTGACTGCCAAGCTTTGCTCAAAGGAATGATAGAAGTCAACTCTGAAAAGAGACTAACGGTAAGAAGGGAACATGTCACTATTACCAACATTAGCTGATGGTGATTTACCTAGATTTTCTGAGCCCATGTTTTAGTTTTCGTTGATTATATAATAATAATGCAGCAACGCACAAGATATGTAACTACAGTGACATTGAAGAGGTTATCCAACATCATGTTGGAAGCAAAGATGAAGAGCTCTCTCTGAATTCTTTTCGTTTTCCTGTTAAAATCTGTCGGAAGGAGAATAAAGGAGCTTCAACCCACAAGATTAGGCATGACTATACAAATCAAAAAGTGTACTCTAATTTGATTCATTTTGTCTACAACGAACACAACTAAACATTTTGTAATTATGGCTGACTTTAAGCTAACTTGTCAGGCTATGGATTGTTCCAGATAAAGACATTGTTGGACTTGCTCATCTGACCGACATTCATTAGCATATCTGCAAGCTAGCTTCCTACTAACAGTATTAACTGGGCTTTACTTCCTTAAGAATACCGCCTGCACAGATAGCAGGTTGGTCCTGCTTGTCGCAGTAGGAGGTCCTAGCCAGTGTTACCAGCTAAGAGTCAAAGCCATAAATTATTACCCATTCTGTGAGTTGTTTGCCTCATGACATTGAAATAAATTATATTTATTGAAATATGAACACATAGGCAGCATGGTGGTGTGGTGATTAGCATTGTTGCCTCACAGCAAAAGGTTCATGATTTGATTCCACCATCTGGCCGGGGCGTTTCTGTGTGGAGATTGCATGTTCTCGCTGTGTTTGTGTGGGTTCTCTACGGGTAATTTGGCTTCCACCCACAGTCCAAAGACATGCAGTTAGTGGGGTGAAGTTAATCGGTAATGCTAAATTGCCCATCAGTGCGATTGGTTGTCTGTCTCTATTTGTTAGCCCTCTGACAGACTAACACCATGTCCAAGGTGTACCTTGCCTCTCGGCCCATGGTAGCTAGCATAGGCTCCAGCGCAACTTAGCAAGGATAAGTGGAATGGATGGTTGGAAATATGTCTGCGAAGGTTCTCAGTCATCCAAGTCATCGTAGTCTAAGGAGCTTGGAAAGAAAAGCTTCTGGAGTTCTTGGAGTTGCTTGAAGCCGTTTCACCTCTTCACCCTCTTGGGGCGGGGGACACTCCCACAGGGCTTAAATCTGGGACTCTCCACCATTTGACCTTAGAACTGAAGAAGCTTCTCAGATGAGAGGTGAAACGTCTTCAAGCAACTCAAAGAAGTCCAGACGCTTTTCTTTGCAAGCTCCTTCATTGGTTGGAAATATGAACACGTGCAGTAGCCTAATAATTGGTAAAAATCAGTGTAATCTCAAAATGTACTTATCTATCAAAATGTACTTGGTAACTATCTTAACACTAAACTACAATTCTTTTTCTCCTACATGAGTTATGGAACAGTATTGTGTGTGTTACCAGTCTGTTCACGTTTCCCATTTTTAAAATTTTGAAAAATAAAGGTGGAGATGCTGTTTCACTGAACTGTGGAATGTAGTGTTAACTGAACTAGCTAAGTACCTGCAATTTGTATGATTTGTCAGTAACATTTCAGCCAGATAAACTGTAGCACCATTAAAATGAAAGGCCTGTTTTTGTCTTCCTCTATTTAAAATCAACATCATGCTGTTTCGAAAACTAATTTTAATGTTAGATCTGCTTCCATAATCCTTGTAAATTGCATCAAATGTAAAAGCCTTTCAGGTGTCGTAAAAGTAGCAAAGGAGGGTGGGGATTATCGGATTTTTTACAGCACGTGGCCTGGACATTTAAAAGGGTGGATGAGGGGAAAAGAAAAGACCCGGCCTCTGGGTTTGCTTCAAGATGTGACAGACATTAAACCTGACACGAGACCTTACAGAGGGAGGATGAAGGAGAGAAACGAGGAGGGTAGAAGGAGTGAGCAGAGGCATGGCCGTAAGGTTTTGCTAAAAGACAGAAGTAGAGTCAGCAATGACAGAACTACCACTATTTGTTGTTTCTATTCTTAGACGCAAGTTTGTAGTTTTTAAATGAATCCAGGAACTCAAAACCTTTTCTAACTATAGGTCAGATTCTTGAAAAAGAAAAGACTGGTAGGGTGAGTAAGTGAACGAATAAAGAAATGAGTGAATGCTCTGGGCAGCTAGATGAAGTTCCATTGAACTCAGGTTATAAAATGAAGCTGAGATAAAGCAATTGTGTGGAAATTAATTCATGCTTAACAGGCAGGTAGATGGGGACAACTGTGACAATGTGGTGTCACAGAGGGCTGTAAAATAAGGACAGAGAGGAGGAAAAGTCTGGTTAGTTAGTCTACTACAGCAGATTTAATCAAAGCTGTGAGTTTGTCTGATGAGCTGTTGATTAATGGAGCCTGAAACCAGGTCAGACTGTCTCTCCCTCACTCTCTCTGTCTCTATCCGCTTCCTCGTTGCCTCCATGGAAACCACCCACTGCACAAGGAGACAGATTCCACACCAGTTTAGTAGTAGTTAAGATCAAATAAAGCAACACATCTTTAGTGTTTCATCACATTTAATTTATAACAGGAGGCGGTTGGAAAGGCTCCTGTCTGCAGTCCTTTGTAAGCAAGTTCACCAATGCAAATCCCTAGCTGTGTGCAGATGCTTGCAAGTTTCCTCTCTGCAGATGTATAAATGCAGTGCTTACACAGTAGGCCCACTTTCTCCTTTTATACACTTGCAGAACTGCAGCTGCTTCATTATTCTAGCCCCAAGAGATGCTGCACAGGACCGATGGGATGGCTTCTACTTATATGCAGTCCTAATGCAGAGAATCTAATGTACGAGGGCATGTAGGACTGCTGCAGGGAAACTTTTTACCATGTTGTGAAAACTAGAATCTGTGGCCCTTTACTGGCTAAATGCTCCACCAGTTAGCTCATATAACTATAATGACCTTGCTGACATGTTGATATAATGAAGATAAAAATAGTTAGCATGTTTACCATCATGTTAGCCTGTCAAATCTGCAAATCTTAGCTAGCTAGAAAGAGTAGCTAACGCCTAATAAATAGAGCTGTGAAAAACAGAGTACATTAGCAGCGTGTGGAACCACCTTTGGTAGCAATAACCTCAAGTCAACTTCATCAATCACTCATCATCATCACTGTGGAGGAATTTTCTGTCCGCTCTCCCTTACAATGTCGCTTCAGTGCAGTGAGGTTTGTGAGCAGTCATTTATGCATCTCAGTGAGGTTGTGGTCTGGACTATGGCTTTGTGGTTTATTCAGATATACCTTTGCAAACCAATGCTGTAGTGGCATGTTCTTTTTAAACAGTCCTGAGATGTAGCTCGTGGGTCCTTCTGGGCATTGCATGGTTTGACCTGGGTTTTATGTCCACTCCTGTAGAGATTGAAATATTTCCACTAATAAGATGGGCTTCACATTGTTTCATTACCTTCCCTGTAAGAAAAATGGCTTCTTTTAGATCACCGTTGTAACATGTCTTTAAAAAGTTAGGATGGGGCAACAAAAGGCGATAAAAGTAAGTGGTACTAAAAGAAACAGCTGGAGGAACATTTTGCAACTAATAAGGTTAACCGGCAACAGGTCAGTAATACAACTGCGTGTAAAAAGAACATCTTAGAAAGACTCAGAAGAAAACATGGGTAGGGGTTCACGAATCTGCAACAAACAGACACGATTCTGTCCTGTAAATCGCTGCATGGGCTCAGGAACAATTCCAGAAATCACTGTCTGTGAACACACGACGCCACACCCAAATGCAGGTTAATGCTACTGTCTTCTCTGGGCAAAGCTCATTTAAAATGGACTGAGGCAAAGTGGAAAACTTTTCTGTGGTCGGATTAACTGAAATTTGAAAGTCCTTTTGAAAAACATGGACCTGCATCTCCTGGACTAAAAAGGTGAGGGACCAAAGATGAGAGTTTCTGAACTGAGGGGGCATCAGTACACGTTTTAGAGCAACATATGCTTCCATCCAGACAATGTCTTTTTTTCACCAATGGAAAACATCGTGTAATTAAAAAATTAGGCTGCTGAGTGTTGAACAGCTCGAATGCAATAGCAAACAAGAAGCAGTGGTTTCTATTTTGTGAAAAAACTGTGAGTTTGTGAGATTTGCAAATCATTCTGTTCTGTTTTTATGTACATTTGATACAACTTCACAACTATTTTTGGACTTGTAGTTGTAAAATATGGGTTTGAGTCAGAAGTCTGGGTTCATTTTGAGATGTTTTTTGTTTTTTTTAATGAAGCAAATGGTCCGATATAACACGAAACTGGTCAAATGAGACAAATGACACACAGACGCTAAACATACTGCTTCTTAAAATAGCGCACGTATTTCAGCTGTGCTAACATAATTAGAATAATGGTATTTCTATTAACAATCATCATTTTAGCATGATAAGCTCACATCAGGTAACACAATATGACATTAGAACATGGGTGGAGTTACTGAAAATGTAAATCTACTAAAATTTTTATTCAAAATTATAGGTAATTTACGATTAATCACTCAATCATTATCATAAACGTAATCATCTTATGTTATATCAAACATAAACAGATGTGCTTTCCTTAAAAACGCTGACATTTTTCCCAGAACCCAGAGTTGAGATGTGATTATACATGTAAATAAGTCACAATAATTCTCTTTAATATGCTTTAATGTGCTTTAATATTGGCTTGTGTTTTTTCAATACAGCTTGAAGCAATACAGAAACACCCCTGGTACCTGTAAGTATATTTAACTTTTTATTTTGTTCTTTTGTCCGTCTGGCTTTTTTTTTGCATTTTACATTTTCCCCTCTCTATTCAATGCACCTCCACCCCTGCTGACTTTTTATACATACCAGCTTACTATGATCCTTCAAAGGAACTGTTTCAAAGGCAGCGTAAGAAATCTCTGCAGAATTTCCCCTTGTTAAATTTAACAAAGTCAAATAGCATTTTATGGAATCATAAGATGTCTTTCCTAATTCCAATTCTTAAATATAAAGCTTTTAAGTCATGCTGGTACTGAAATACCGTGTCTCATACATAAAGTACACCATCAGTGAGCGTTAACTACAAGTAGGTGAGTGAATCCTGTGATCTATTTTGGGATTTCTCTCTTCAGTCCTGCAGTCTTGGAGACCAAGAGTAGCTCCCGGCCTGGATTTTGGAAAGCAAAATTAAGCTTTTCAGTTATTCTCACATTTTTATTTTCTGTCAGGGTGTAAGTGAAACAATACTACCTCTACTATCTCTTTCAATAGTCATGCTTAAACCAGATCTATTTATACTTAAACATGAAAGCCTGTGGCTGATGTGGCGGTGTTCACTGCACCACATGCTAAACTTTCTTCAGAGAAAGCATTTTTAATTACACAGCCTAAATAGACTGACTTTTTGTTTTTGTGCCAGGGGCGGTCGGAACGAGCCCTGTCCAGAGCAGCCTCCCCCTCGCCGAGTGTGTATGAAGAGGATACTGTCCTTAACTGAGCTTGACCCTGATGTCCTGGAAAGCATGTACTCCCTAGGGTGCTTCAGAGATCGGGTTAAACTCACACAGGACCTTACAAGTGAGGAGTGAGTAAATACAACACAGAAATGTCCACTTTTACATCCGAGATATTGCCGAATCTGTGCCAACCACGGTTCAACTCACAAATCAGATTTACGTCCACATGCCTGTTTCTCCGTTATTCCTCCTGATTCCTGAGTTTACAACATCACAGCCGCTGGCATCTCAGCTCTTACACAGGCGCTAAGTGCAGTTTTTAAATGTAAGTGTGCTTGTATACTGAGCAAGTAAAAACAGAAAACACGACTCTGTGTTGCTGATTTAATTTCTCTTTTTCTCATTATCTCTTTGTCTCATTGTGGCCAGCCAGTTACTTACATCATGAACTGCCTGACATGGCAGGAACAAGAGCAACAATGCAAACAATGCCTCTCGCATTTTCCTCTCTGTCCGTCCTCTCCGTCTGCAGAATTAACGTGGATGTTCACCCACCACACGAGGCTCCAAAATAAAATTGTATTTAGTCTCTTCATGGCAGTAATAAAAACAATACATACATAAAAGAGTCATTAAAAAAGTTATTAAAAAACTTTGTTCTTTGTGAAGTGAACTCAGCCTGAGGAAAGGAGCTGGATACTACTGTATAAAACCAATCACCCTCTGAATCAACTGAGATGTTTTTGGATGTATATTTAATAAATGTAACACATGTCAGATTTGACCTTATGACTTAAACAAGTTAGCCACATGAAATTTTCAGGGATAAAAAGCTCCTTTAAATTCTCTTAAAACCTGCAACAATTGCAACATCATGGGATATATGACAGTTTAATGTCTGTGATATAGAGTAACAGAAACAAGAATTGGTAGCCTGGACAGTTAATCTATTTCCTGAATATTCACTTAAGAAAATTCAAAAAGTACATTTTCAAATGTCCTTCGAAGGTCACCGCTATGAGTGGAGTGGCTCTGCACATAGTGTGAATCATTTGTTCTTTATTTTAGCCATTTAAGCTCCCTTTCTGTTGCCAACTTTCTTCTGATTGGCTGCCCCTTGGAAGGGTTTGAATAGCAGGTGGGCAGGATGGCTTTGGTTACAGTTGGAGGAGAATTAAAGGTGACGTGATTTGAAAGAGTCCTTAATCTGATCTCTAAACTTTTTTTCTGATTTAGTATATTTCAGTTGCAAGTATTAATAATTTTAGGGGGAAAAGCCACAAAATAACAATAAGAGTAAAAGTGAAAAGGAGCAAAGTGCAATTATTTATATAGAGAAACCATCAGAAAATCCTCTTAGACGCATATATAATTATCCAGCTGTGCAGTCCTTAGCTTTATGAAACATGTCTGCAGTGCAAAATAATTCGTATTCTTATCCTTATTATATCCTGGCTCTTTTACTTGCCACAGCAGGGGGAGCAGTTTTTCATACTACAAGCATGCAGACAGGGTTAGCAACCACTGTAGCAGAGGCGCTAGCAGCTAGCTGATCCGTGTGGCAGCAACATGACTTCCAAAACTGCTAATGTTTGTAATAACTTGTTAATTTGTTGCCTCACCTTCAAATAATTCACAAAGGCAGGTTTAGAGTTGACACTGAACTTTGTTGACATGAACAATGAATACTTACTTTCCCCAATCAGGAAGTGACCCAAAGCAAGCAAAAAAAGTTAGCTAGTAGTGTGTCTACTTTATTTAGACATTATGCATCAAAATGTACTTACTGTATGACCAAGTTACTCTAATACATGGTTTTTTTTTCACATATAGATATTAGATTTAGCAAAAGATGACCACTTTCTCTCAGTTATATAGTTTGCTACCTAGCCAGCTAGCTAGACATAGATACAGGTAGGTTAAAAAAGTCATTTCTTTTTAATGACCACTAGCACACAATCCTGCAAAAACACTTCAGGTCCTGTAGAACTTTAACTAGCAATCCATGAAAGCAAACAAAGACATCATCGCCTTGCATGTCTTTTTTAACATCTTTGTAAAGTCTTTATGATGACCAAAGACTGACCTTTTGGCTGTTACATTTTTCCCCCCAGCATTTAATTCCTGCTTTACTACGCTTGTTTCTGCAGGGAGAACCAGGAAAAGATGATCTACTACCTCCTGTTGGACAGGAAAGAGCGATACCCCAGCTGTGAGGACGAGGATCTGCCACCAAGGAATGACATAGGTGAGATCGTCCTGACCATAAAAAAATAAGATGTAAAGCTCTAAATGTATATGTTGACCTTCGTTCATGCTACTATTTATTCTTGAAAATGTCCAGAGATGTTTTTAATTATTTCTTGCATTTCCATTTCAATTAATTCACAAATATTTTTGTCTCGCAGACCCACCCAGGAAGCGTGTTGACTCCCCCATGCTGAATCGTTATGGCCGCAGTCGTCCGGAGAGGAAGAGTTTAGAGGTCCTCAGTGTCACAGAACAGGTTTCTCCCACCCCGCCTCGCAGGGCCCTGGACACTAATGCATACAGCCAGAGGTACTAACTGTTTAAAACTACAAGTGAGAACAAAGTGTTCAGCTTTGGAAGAGATTAGAGCTACAAACTGCCAGAATATTTTTTTGATGATTGAGCGCATGTGTTACTTTCTGCTGTCTTTGAAAGGTCTCGTTCAGTCAGTGGGGCCTCCACAGGTCTGTCCTCCAGTCCTCTTAGCAGTCCCAGGGTAAGAACTTCACCCTATATTGTTTCTGTGTGGATCTCGGTGGCTAGGTTTAGGCAATTTTTCTGTTTAGTTGTTTTAAATGTTTTAAACATAGTCCATATAACCAACCTATATCTATTCAGAATACATATGCTGTATTTTATATTATTTGACAACATGATTGTGTAAAAGTATAGGAGTGGCACAGACTGTTACAGTTCATTTGTAATGTGCACCCATGTGACAGAGTCTTTATACAGTTATTGTTTTTGTAAGGACACTAAGCTACAGCTCATCTTCATTACTCTCTCAGATTTGATACAGTGTAACTTGCTAACAGGTGCACAGTTTCTCAGTTTTATTGTATTAGCTACATATGCTAATGTAGCGCTCCGCAGATTTGCTGTTATTGTTTATGAGCACTACAACGAAGAGTTAACTTTTTAAACGATAAACCATTAGCATAAAGCTAGTAGAGCCAGAAAGTTAGCTTAGCTGGACACAAAGACTGTACATAATGAGCTGCTGGAAATATCAACTAGCAGACAAAGTGTGGATTCTTCCACAGCAGGAATGTTTCCATTTCCATATCTTTTGCTAAAAACTGAATTTCTAAAGTAACAGTAGTGTGAGGCTGTGTTTGGATTCAGATGGTTATTTAAAGACACACAAACACATACAAAAACATTATTCTTTGCCCAAAATACATTTAATAAAATGTAACTGCAATATACAAAATCACAGGTCCAATAATTAATCATTTAGGAATTTATCAACGGAATGTTTATTTAATGTATAATTTCATGGAAAACTTACATTTTGGTAGTTATTAGTATTATTAATATATCATTAAATATCATTCTCACGTGCTTTTCTGCAAGGTAGTGTGTTGTAGCGTGGTACCAGTAAAACACAAATAGTGTGTCTGTGTGTGTGTGTTGTCAGTTGCTTTAGTACATGCATCATCAGTTCACGTCTTGACAAAAACAAATTTCCTGTATTGTGACTTTTTCATATATATCACAAGCTGTCATCGCTTCTCATGCCTCGCCATCATATCGTTACATCCTGAGTCATATGCATTGCCATGTCATGCTGCCTCATGCAAAGATCTCTGTTCTCATGCTGACATGGGTAAAAAGTGTCTGACAGATACACATTTATGATAGAAGTAGAAGTAATTAATTCCATCGTTCGTTGTTGCATCTCGATGAGGTTCGCTGATAAATCATATCCATGAATCATATTTCATGACCATTTCTTCCTCTCACATCTGTCTGTACCTGTTTCCATCTCTCTCTGTCTACCAATCAGAGTCCGGTCTTCACTTTCAGCCAATCAGAAGTCACCTCCACCTCCGCTTCCTCCTCCAAAGACCCCAAACCAGGAAGTGCCACCACCCCTCGACCTACCCGCCCGGCGCCTGACCCAAAAACCCAGACCTTGCCCTCAAAAGGCCCCGCAGAACGGCCCCAGCTTCACACCATGAAGTCCCTCCCACTCCAGACACCACGCTCCCCTTCCCCTTCGCCCTCCCCTATACTCTCCCCCATTCCACGCTTCTTCAACTTCCCGTCACCATCTGTCTTCAAGTCCAAGAACGTCCACTCGTCCTCTAACTCCTCTGCCACCCCTCCCCCTGTGTCGCAGGTCACACCGCAAGGCTCGCCGCTGCCCACCCCGCTGGGCACGCCTGTGCACCAACTCCAACACCCTTCCTCCACCACCCCTCCCTCCTCTTCCTCCTCGTCTTCTTCCTCCAGAGCGGACGGAGCTGCCTCGCTGTCGCTGACCCCGCCCTCCAGCCCGGGGGGCAGTGGTGGGATGGCTGCCTCGGGCTCTGCTCACTGGAGATCCAGGCTCAACTCATTCAAGAACAACCTTCTGGGCTCTCCGCGCTTCCACAGGCGCAAACTACAAGGTGAATAAGGAGTTTAAGACACACAATTAAAGAAAATAGTCTTTTAGCCAAGAGCAAATGAATCTTATGAAGAGATGAATCCAAGATAGAATCTATTGTTACTAAGAAAGTAGCACGTGTTCCAGCCTGATGCCTGGGGCAGTGTTAAGTAACATCTTATTTTCTAATAATATGTAATTACAGCAATTACATTTGAGCCTGTCATCAAGAATTACTGACCTTTTCTTTCCCTCTCTCTGACTCCAGTTCCTACATCAGAGGATATGTCCAGCTTAACGCCAGAATCCAGCCCAGAGTAAGTACACACATTCAATCAGTTTTCTTTCCTACAACTCAAAGGGGCGCACTGTGTTTTGCAAAATCCTCCTTCTTTCACTTACATGTCTAAAGACCCACAAAGTAAGAGAAAAGCCCATCACCCATCACCGATCAGATCATCCTCTCACTTTGTTCCTTTCCTTCTATAGATCAGTGGGCTTGTCTCTGAATCAACAATTCAAGTTTGCAGTCATTTCTGATGTCGTAACCGAATGAGCAGCAATTTTTAGATGTTGATCTCTTACATTCAGAATGAATGGAGCCATTCCTGCTAGCTCTAAACTGTCACAGCCAAAAAACAAATATCAAACATTTGTTGGCTGCCAGGGTGAATACAACAATGTTTATTTATTTCTAAAGAACCGGTTTGTGTTAGCACGTAGCATCTAATGCTGCTACAGTCAACATCAGCACTGACTGTCCCCCGCAGCACACAGATGTGTTGAAAGTGTAATGCTGAGGCACAGCCAACAGTTTTAAGACCGATTTGAAACCAATATGCAGGAACTGTGTATTGGTTGTTGGTTGCTCTGCTTTTTTCATCTTTTCTTTTGCCTTTTGTGCTTCAGTGCAAACTACACTTAGCTGGCTTTCACCTCTTTAGCGCTGTTTGCTTTTGTGCTACTATCTCTCTTCGCATTTACTGTGTTTTAATACAGCCAACTTTCCATTAAAGCTCTTCTCATGTATATAATTTTTCTGTTTCTGCTGTCAGACAACAGAACAGGTATGGCACGTTAACTCCTTGTTAATTAGCCGTCACTTGCAAGCCATTTTCCAAGATAAAAGTCACGATTTTACCAAAATCACCATAGACATTGGTTTAAGACACAAGTTAAAGCTGCTGTTTGCAGATAAACATTCAGAAACTGAGAGTTTGAAGCATCATATTCACACCATGCTTCACACTGAAATAAGTCATTTAGAACAGGGCTAAAGGGCTAGTTTATTATAACACAGCAGAGAGTAAGTTTGCTCCAGTATCTTAAGTTTAAGATTCAAACACACACTCTGGGGAGGAGGTGGGCAGATCGAAAATATTAATAGCCTGAATATCAGCACTGGTATCAGTATTGGACCAATACTGGCGCGACAAGATCGATACTTTGTTTCTATCCTCTGTGTTCAGTATGTAGCCGACTGAATTCTTTTTTTGAAAATGAAAAACATTGTAACCTTTGTTGATTTTATTCGTAGCCTACAGCTGACCCAAAGTCGTTTAGAGAAAGACACATTGACATTCCAGGTCTCCAACAAAGCTTGTTTCAAACTTCATGAAAGGCTGAACAGGGTTTTTTTGTTGTCTGAACTTTTTTAATGTTCAAAGTAAAAATCACAGAGATTTAGTGGTGAAGATTTATCTCGTAAGTCATGACACACTGCCCTCCACTACATAAGCTGCACTTATTGGTTGAACATATCGCTGTTGGTATCGGCCTCGGTTTAGGCCATGTAAGTATTTGGTATTGGATCAATACCAGAATTTACAATATGGCACACCTCTACTGGGGGGATGTACGTTGGCCAAAAGCACTTCAAATTAAAAAACAAAACACCAACACATAGAAAAATGCTACAAAAGCACTCAAAACACAACAAACACTCGAGCGAGTGTTTTTTGGAGAGACGGTAACGTCATGGACCAGCTGCAGAAGTGACAAGCTTATGGCAAACAGCTGATAGCAAACATTTATCTACAGTATTAAATGAATCTCATCTTTTTGTCCCTCACGGCACTCTCTCAGAGGACTCCTTTACATGCTCTGGTTTCAGTCACGTTATTTCCTGTCCAAAAACACCAACATTTGCTGGTGTTTTCTTAAGCTGCAGTGCATTTGACCTCTCAGGCCACCGTAGAGATGCCTGACTTACATTATCATATTAGAAAGAGAGAACATGTGGAGCTTGTTATATGGTTTTAGACACTGTTAGACTTTGATTTGCAGTTCAGCCTAAAACACTCAGCAGCAACATATCTGAAAAAGAGTAAATGACAGTAAACAGTCATCTTTCACTAAATAACCAGGTAACTTTTTACCACTTTTACTGTGCTTCACCCAAAAGCCAAAAAACAACTCTGTTACTGTGGGCTGACACATCAAGGATGAAAATACATGTTGCTTAGCTCTCCACTGTGACGTGTGATATTACTGTGTTATCGACTGACTTGGTTGTAGTTGTGCTTTCTTGTCCATTTTTAGTGAATTTAACCTTTAATCTCTGTGCTGTGTCAGTGCTTATGGATGAGTGAGCCATTATTTTTCTATTTGTACTGTATAAAACGTGTGACTGAAACTAATCTGATTAATTTGCAGGCTGGTGAAGCGGTCCTGGTTTGGTAACTTCATCACGCTGGAGAAAGAGGAGCAGATCTTTGTCTTGATCAGAGACAAGCCGCTCAGCTCTATCAAGGCTGACATCGTCCAAGCTTTTCTCTCCGTGAGTGCAGACAAACTTAGATAAGCTTCGACATATTAGTACGATTCCCACGGCGGTGTTAAACGCACAAATTTGAGATTCGATCGTCATAACTTGGCATCACTTTTTTCTTTGTCTTCTGCAGATCCCATCCCTCTGCCACAGTGTGGTGTCTCAGAATAGTTTCCGGGCAGAATACAAGTCCTCTGGTGGTCCTTCTGTCTTCCAGAAACCTGTCAAATTCCAAGTATTACTCCGTTCTTATTACCTCCTCAGCTCTAACAGAAGTGTTTTGCATGTTGTCAGTCAGTCTTGTAAGGAATAAGCTCTTTTTATGAACGCTTTGAAGTTCTAAAACCTTTTGGTGGAAATACTCCTTCCTTAAAAGAATTGAGGGTTATAAAAGTACTTAAAACCCCATTTGTGGATCTTTGTTTAACACTTTTTTCAAAAGAAGCTTTGAGGGATGTAAATGTACAGTGAGTGGTCTAGATGGTAGATGTAGGGGTTGTCCAAATTCATAGGCTGCATCCTTCTGAGGACCCGGCCTTCATGGTCTACGTGGACCGGGTCCTCCGAAGGCCGGGTAGGCCGTAAGTGAGCGGCTGTGAAATGGGTCTAGTCTTCAGTTTTGCGTCACCACTGTCTCGGTGGAGTTTAATAAACTCAGCCGTCTGCTCCTTGCTATCTAAAATATAAGAAAGACTGGCGGAAATCCTCGACCATCTCACACTTCTGTTTAGTCAGTTTTCCATTTGACATTTATTCAGCTGTGTGAAAACTATAACTTTAATCACAGCCAAACCGATTTACTCATGAACAAATAAAACACTGAAAAAAGCCAAACAATGACATTTTTAAGTTATCTAAGTGACTCATATATCCTGTTTACCCAGAGTTTACCCCCGTGGGGGGTTTGAAACGATGTGCCGGGAGTTCGCTTTACTCGCCCTGGCTAGCTATCAAGCTGGTGGGTAACAGACGTCTCCGAAACTGTCGGAGCATTATATGCAAATATGTGGTGTCTTGATAAACAGAGCAGATATTTGAAGTTTACACAGCTACATTCTTGCCTGAAAATATCTTAAAAGTTTATTTTGTGACCCAGAAAGAATAATAAGAGTAATATTAAAACTAAGTACAGTGGGGCAAAAAAGTATTTAGTCAGCCACCGATTGTGCAAGTTCCCCCACCTAAAATGATGACAGAGGTCAGTAATTTGCACCAGAGGTACACTTCAACTGTGAGAGACAGAATGTGAAAGAAAACTCCATGAATCCACATGGTAGGATTTGTAAAGAATTTATTGGTAAATCAGGGTGGAAAATAAGTATTTGGTCAATAACAAAAATACAACTCAATACTTTGTAACATAACCTTTGTTGGCAATAACAGAGGTCAAACGTTTACTATAGGTCTTTACCAGGTTTGCACACACAGTAGCTGGTATTTTGGCCCATTCCTCCATGCAGATCTTCTCGAGAGCAGTGATGTTTTGGGGCTGTCGCCGAGCAACACGGACTTTCAACTCCCGCCACAGATTTTCTATGGGGTTGAGGTCTGGAGACTGGCTAGGCCACTCCAGGACTTTCAAATGCTTCTTACGGAGCCACTCCTTTGTTGCCCGGGCGGTGTGTTTTGGATCATTGTCATGTTGGAAGACCCAGCCTCGTTTCATCTTCAAAGTTCTCACTGATGGAAGGAGGTTTTGGCTCAAAATCTCACGATACATGGCCCCATTCATTCTGTCCTTAACACGGATCAGTCGTCCTGTCCCCTTGGCAGAAAAACAGCCCCATAGCATGATGTTTCCACCCCCATGCTTCACAGTAGGTATGGTGTTCTTGGGATGCAACTCAGTGTTCTTCTTCCTCCAAACACGACGAGTTGAGTTTATACCAAAAAGTTCTACTTTGGTTTCATCTGACCACATGACATTCTCCCAATCCTCTGCTGTATCATCCATGTGCTCTCTGGCAAACTTCAGACGGGCCTGGACATGCACTGGCTTCAGCAGCGGAACACGTCTGGCACTGCGGGATTTGATTCCCTGCCGTTGTAGTGTGTTACTGATGGTGACCTTTGTTACTTTGGTCCCAGCTCTCTGCAGGTCATTCACCAGGTCCCCCCGTGTGGTTCTGGGATCTTTGCTCACCGTTCTCATGGTCATTTTGACCCCACGGGATGAGATCTTGCGTGGAGCCCCAGATCGAGGGAGATTATCAGTGGTCTTGTATGTCTTCCATTTTCTGATGATTGCTCCCACAGTTGATTTTTTCACACCAAGCTGCTTGCCTATTGTAGATTCACTCTTCCCAGTCTGGTGCAGGTCTACAATACTTTTCCTGGTGTCCTTCGAAAGCTCTTTGGTCTTGGCCATGGCGGAGTTTGGAGTCTGACTGTTTGAGGCTGTGGACAGGTGTCTTTTATACAGATGATGAGTTCAAACAGGTGCCATTCATACAGGTAACGAGTGGGGGACAGAAAAGCTTCTTACAGAAGACGTTACAGGTCTGTGAGAGCCAGAGATTTTCCTTGTTTGAGGTGACCAAATACTTATTTTCCACCCTGATTTACGAATAAATTCTTTACAAATCCTACCATGTGGATTCATGGATTTTTTTTCCACATTCTGTCTCTCACAGTTGAAGTGTACCTCTGGTGCAAATTACTGACCTCTGTCATCATTTTAAGTGGGGGAACTTGCACAATCGGTGGCTGACTAAATACTTTTTTGCCCCACTGTAGCTGCCGCCATTGTTGGAAAATTGGAATTGGCTGCGCTATGCATTCTGGGATAGGTTGGGCCACGAAGGATACACCGACCCATCCTTCAAAAATGGGGAAATGAAGGACGCATTTGGAGGAGTCTTCGAATTTGGACAGCCTTCGTCGCGTCACTGTGATGTAATCGGTCTACAAAAGCAGCCTGATGCTATGATTTTGGACACCCCTGTAAACTAAGTAGATGTAAAACTAAAATGTAAATGTGAACAAAGGACAAATATTTGGCTCTATGAATGAACCAAAACAGAGCAAAATTAACCTATTTTGAAGTGGAGGCCTTATGTGACAGACGAAGTAAGATGCGATGCCGACTTGTTAAAACGAGTGAAACTAGCTAGCTAGCCAATTTATAGAACGAAGGACCCAAATGCTGGAGTCAAGGCAGAGAAAATAACAAAAAGCAAGAAACAGATATCCAAAAAATTTTAAAAAAAAGAAATAAAAAAATCGTCATTTACAGAGAATACACTAGGAGAGATACACAGATGCTTCATCAAAGGAAATAGGGTAGACGGGACTACAGGGAGTGCAGAATTATTAGGCAAGTTGTATTTCTGAGGAATAATTTTATTATTGAACAACAACCATGTTCTCAATGAACCCAAAAAACTCATTAATATCAAAGCTGAATGTTTGTGGAAGTAGTTTTTAGTTTGTTTGTAGTTTGAGCTATTTTAGGGGGATATCTGTGTGTGCAGGTGACTATTACTGTGCATAATTATTAGGCAACTTAACAAAAAACAAATATATACCCATTTCAATGATTTATTTTTACCAGTGAAACCAATATAACATCTCCACATTCACAAATATACATTTCTGACATTCAAAAACAAAACAAAAACAAATCAGCGACCAATATAGCCACCTTTCTTTGCAAGGACACTCAAAAGCCTGCCATCCATGGATTCTGTCAGTGTTTTGATCTGTTCACCATCAACATTGCGTGCAGCAGCAACCACAGCCTCCCAGACACTGTTCAGAGAGGTGTACTGTTTTCCCTCCTTGTAAATCTCACATTTGATGATGGACCACAGGTTCTCAATGGGGTTCAGATCAGGTGAACAAGGAGGCCATGTCATTAGTTTTTCTTCTTTTATACCCTTTCTTGCCAGCCACGCTGTGGAGTACTTGGACGCGTGTGATGGAGCATTGTCCTGCATGAAAATCATGTTTTTCTTGAAGGATGCAGACTTCTTCCTGTACCACTGCTTGAAGAAGGTGTCTTCCAGAAACTGGCAGTAGGACTGGGAGTTGAGCTTGACTCCATCCTCAACCCGAAAAGGCCCCACAAGCTCATCTTTGATGATACCAGCCCAAACCAGTACTCCACCTCCACCTTGCTGGCGTCTGAGTGGGACTGGAGCTCTCTGCCTTTTACCAATCCAGCCACGGGCCCATCCATCTGGCCCATCAAGACTCACTCTCATTTCATCAGTCCATAAAACCTTAGAAAAACCAGTCTTGAGATATTTCTTGGCCCAGTCTTGACGTTTCAGCTTGTGTGTCTTGTTCAGTGGTGGTCGTCTTTCAGCCTTTCTTACCTTGGCCATGTCTCTGAGTATTGCACACCTTGTGCTTTTGGGCACTCCAGTGATGTTGCAGCTCTGAAATATGGCCAAACTGGTGGCAAGTGGCATCTTGGCAGCTGCACGCTTGACTTTTCTCAGTTCATGGGCAGTTATTTTGCGCCTTGGTTTTTCCACACGCTTCTTGCGACCCTGTTGACTATTTTGAATGAAACGCTTGATTGTTCGATGATCACGCTTCAGAAGCTTTGCAATTTTGAGACTGCTGCATCCCTCTGCAAGATATCTCACTATTTTTGACTTTTCTGAGCCTGTCAAGTCCTTCTTTTGACCCATTTTGCCAAAGGAAAGGACGTTGCCTAATAATTATGCACACCTGATATAGGGTGTTGGTGTCATTAGACCACACCCCTTCTCATTACAGAGATGCACATCACCTAATATGCTTAATTGGTAGTAGGCTTTCGAGCCTATACAGCTTGGAGTAAGACAACATGCATGAAGAGGATGATGTGGACAAAATACTCATTTGCCTAATAATTCTGCACTCCCTGTATGAGTGGAGACAACTGGGGAACAAGCCACAGATGAAAACAAGTAAAGACAATCAGACCAACAAGAAGTCTAAACCAAGCACTAGAGCAGGGGTGTGGAACTCCAGGCCTCGAGAGCCGGTGTCCTGCAGGTTTTAGATATCACCCTGGGTCAACACACCTGGTAATGGCGTTCATTATTCAGGCTTTTATCAAAGAACTGGGAGCTGCAGTGTACTCGAAGAGGTCTTATAATATACTGAAGATCATATAAAGAAAAGCATCAAATGTACTACAGTACAGTAATGTCACCTTCATGTTCTAAGTAACGGTATGTATTTGTCATGGAGCTGTAGCAGGTGATTACCCTCAGGGACCCGTGTGGCCCACAAGCAGCTGATAGTGCTGAATGAAGCAGGCACTAAATTTGGTTTTATTTAACACAAACCCAGCTGAGTCGGACCTATTATTTTGATAACACACAAATACTGCCTTACACAGTGTACAGATCAGAAATGTTATTCATATGTAAAGTGGTAAACCACTGAAAGTCTTTGTCTGCCTGTATTTTAATTGAAAATAATAATTAAAATTAATAAAAAAAATGTTATAGTCTAATCTTCCATGGAGTACGGCTGAAGGTTGCTCGGTTTATTTTACAAACTCTTTAGCCGAGGTAATCTGGTGTCACTATGTGTAGAATTTGAAAATTTCCAATGACAAAGAAAGTGAGCGTTTTCAAAAATGCAGCAATTACGTGGGCGCTTTGATTTACAGAGTCCTTTTCCTCCCGTAGGTGGACATCGCTTTCTCTGAGGGAGAGAGGGAGCGAGAGAGGGAACGAGCAGAGAGAGAAGGGAGACGAGAGCTGGGCATTTACAGCGTGACCTTCACTTTAATATCAGGTAGGAGACCAGAGTCCTAACGCTTCCACATGTGAGGAGTTACCAGACAGATGCAAATGAATGCTGCACTGTGTCAGGGGCATACTTCAGTTTCTGCAACCTCACCCATTCAGCAGATTAAAGCAGAACCTCTGTGAGTTAAGGTTTGGTTAAACAAGGGGAAAAGGGGGGAAATTAGCCATGTGATACGTCTAAAACAAATTTAATATTCAACCAATGGAGGAAAAACGTCTCGTTTTATAGTTTAAGATTTATAGTATTAGATGAGAAGTCACTGTCAGTGATGAACACATTGGAAAATACACTATTTTTGTTGCAGCTGCTTCACAATAAAAGCCCAGCTTGTTTTCCTAGAAGATCTACAGCGTTCGGAGCAAGAAACAGCAAGGCTGACACTAATGAAACTGTATTACTCTCTGTTATATGCATGTGTTATTTCATTCCTTCACAATCTGTTTGAATCCACTGTGAGGATGGTTGACTGCATTCCTAAAGGTGACAAATACAAGATAGAGAAAATTACTGAAACGATCACAAACACTTAAACTGGGTCTGACATCATCATGTTTGAGCCAATAACAGCAACAGAGGAAAATACAGTGCTAACTAAAGTCTTTAGATTTTGCTGTGGAAATCAGAAGATGTGTGCAGTGATGTGCAGTTGAGCTTGACAGACGGTATTTGGTAGGACCACCTTTATTCTTCAACATACTTTGAACTCTCAGGCATGTTTTCTCCTTATTTCTTTAAGTAGTCCTCAGGAATAGTTCTCCAAGGTTCTTGAAGGACATTCAAAGCTCTTCTTTGGATGTTGGCTGCCTTTTGTTCTGTCCTCTGTCAAGATGATCCCACGCGGCTCTGGGGAGGCCAATCCATAACCGATTGTGTTCCATTGTGCGTTTTTCTATCCAGGTTATGTTTTTACTGGATTGGAAGTGTGTTTAGTATTATTGTCATGCTGAAAAATGAAGCCATTAGACATCTAATCAGACACTTTCCAGATAGTACTGTCACTGTTGTACCTTTCTGCTAACCTTCTCAGCACATGTTGACAAAGACGTGTTAGTACTGACTTTCAGTCCAGTTCCTGTGTATCTCCAAATGTTGATTGTTGAATGTTGTTCATCTGGACGTAGCGTTTTGTGGGAGAAACGTTTCGTCACTCATCCAAGTGACTTCTTCAGTCTCAGCTGACTGCAGGTTTCCCCAAATATTATAAACAGTAGTAGTAGTCCGTAAGAGATTACAGGATGACACCTCAGCAACAGGACCACTCTCAGCATCGACCAAGTGTGTTTGCTTTTGGAACTGTGTCTTCATTCCACCTACTTCACATACAGGGGTCAGTTCCACAGGCAGAAACATGGGTGTGCCATGGGCTCCCCAGTTTCACCCATCGTGGCCAATTTGTACATGGAAGAAGTGGAAAAGAGGGCTTTGCTATGCTACCCTGGAACACCACCAAGCCATTGGTTCAGATATGTGGATGACACCTGGGTGAAAATCAAATCTCAGGACGTACTACATGTCACGGATCACATTAACTCAGTGGACCGACCCATCAAATTCACCAGGGAGGATATGAAAAGTGGCAGGTTAGCCTTCTTAGACTGAGATTTCCATCAGTAATGGGGGACATCTAAAAGCTGACGTGTACCGTAAACCTACACATACGGATCAGTATTTAAGGTTTGACTCTCATCATCCACTGGAGCACAAACTGGGCGTCATCAGGACGCTACAACACAGAGCGAACACCAGCCCCACTGACACAGCAGCCAGGGAGGCAGAAGAACATCAGGAAGGCCCTGAGTAAATGTGGTTATCCCAGCTGGACTTTTTCAAAGCAGGAAAGGCTCCTAAAGAAAGCTGAGTTGAGACACATTTTTTCTAAACACCGGGTCTCTGTGGCTTTTAAACCCCAAAACACGCTGCGCCAAAAATTGGTCCACCCCAAAGATCGGGTCCCCCGACACAAACAGAGTAACATAGTGTACGCTGTTAAGTGCAGGAGGATTGTCAGGATTTATACATCGGGGAAACCAAACAACCTCTGGCGAAGCGGATGGCACAACACAGAAGAGCTACCTCGTCAGGCCAGGACTCTGCAGTCTTTACACCTACAGGCCAGTGGACACTCTTTCAATGATGAGGATGTAACATCCTGGACAGGGAGGAACGCTGGTTTGAGGGCGGAGTCAAGGAGGCCATTTACGTGAAAAGGGAAAGACCATCTCTGAATCGAGGAGGGGCCTAAGGGTACATCTGTCACCATCTTACAATGCTGTGATTGCAGCCATTCCCCAACTCTCTGTGAATGGGACTCATGGCCATTGATCAGTGGGCTTTGATCAGTGGGTTTTGGTCAGTGGTCATGAGAATTTGCATAATTAAGATTAAGGAACTGACCTCCCAGCCCATTGTTCTTTCAGTCGGCTGGTTTCAGTCATTATGCAAATGTACTGTTTATAAGATCGGAAACCTGCAGTCAGCTGAGACTGAAGAAGTTTTTCCCACAAAATGCTACGTCCAGATGAACAGAATCAACTTTTGGAGATTTACTTATGACTGAGCATGCATCAAGATACTTCCTGTGTAATTTGGCCAACCTCAGCCCTGTTTCCCTTCCACTGAGATCATTTCTGATGATCAACTGAAGGGCAGTTCAGCTCTCAGGTCCTGTGCCAGGTCTTTGCTGGATTTCTTCCTGTTTCTTAAGGTCATGACTTTCACATACTGTTCATCTGCTATAGATAGCTTTTAGGCCTGCTGCCTCTTCTTTTGTCCTCCACTTGTCACACACATCATGCTGAGATATGCCAAGAATTTACTTAATAGCTGAGCCCCTCTAGTGGGCAATGAAGGTATTCCATGTGGGTCTGCATATTAAGAACTTATTGATACTTGGAGGATTTGTCTTTTCTTTTTTTAATTATTGTTTTGGATAAATAAAAAGGGATAAAGGTATTCTCATCTAGGTTTTGGTATTTAGCTTAGATATACTAGGAAAGCCTTACAGGAGAAACTCATCTAATAAAACAAATTCATCCATTTGGTTCTTGCTACCAACACTCCTGTTTTTGACCTGTTTTTCATCTTGGATATCTCCTCATAGGAAAGAACGGTCAAGCATGTAATGGCGCAGTTCAACAAGTAAATGATCAGAAGATCAAACTGTATTACTGAAAATACAAAGAAATACTTCATATTCTCCATGTGTGATGATCAGAGTTTTGATTAAAGGTTTGGGTGGGCCAAACATGACCCAAAATGAGTTACTGAACCCATAAACTCAGCAGGTAAGTGTTCACGAAGGTCGAGTTCAGAAAGCTGTTTTTCAATTCCTTCCAAAGGATAGGAAGTCGCTTTCCAACCAGAGATATTGTCATCTGGTGCAGGTTTAAGGTGCTTTCACATCGGCTTTATTGTTCTGACTCAGAAGCTGTTTCCACTTTTTATGCTGTCTATGGATAAACCCAGTAGAAATTGGACTTTTAGACTACTGTCCTTTTACCTAAAATACTAACTCATAAGTGACATACTGATTTTTTTCCTCTATTCAGGTCCGAGCCGCAGATTCAAAAGGGTAGTGGAAACCATTCAAGCTCAGTTACTGAGTACTCATGATCAGCCTTCTGTGCAGGCATTGGTTGGTGAGTAGCACCAACACACCACCAACAGCACACGGAGTAGTAGCTTGTTAGCTTTACTTCATCTCTCCCTAACTTTACCTCTTGCCGTTTAGATGAGAAGAACGGTCAGCTTTCCCGCCAGCCCAGCACTCCTACACGTCAGAACTCCAGGAGATCTGAAAGCGGATCAGAGCGGGGAGAGGGGGAGCATGCGGCAGACGGGGGGAGCAGTAGCGGAAGCAGCAGCGGAGCCGTCTTACAAAGACGAGGGTCGGGGAAAGACAAGGCCAGACTCTCGCCGTCCAACGGGACACAGGCTCACCCTTGAAAAGAATGTTGTGGAAGAGAAGTGAGGGCCCTATGCCGGGCCCTTTTCTCTTCCTCTCTTTAGTCCTTTCCACATTCTTTCCTTTCCTATTTCCTTACTTCCTGCCTTGCTTCATACTTTTAGTCCTAAGCAATGGGATGGAAAAAGGGAGAAGATTTTCCTTGAAGCTGATCTAGGGATTTAATGAAGATTTCCCCCTGAAATGGCTCGTTTTCTCAGAAATGTATATTTTTGGAGACTACTGGAGCTGATCTCTAATTAGCCCTAAAGGATAGCTTCACCCTGGTGGGACAAGCCTAAAAACAAATGATGTCCAAAAAGCTCCACTTTACTATGAAAATAGAAGAAATTTAGTTCACCTGTTCCTATGGATCGAAAAAAAAGCACATGAAGTTCCCACTGACCAATCACATGCAACACATTGTTCAAACTCAACAATCAAGTTCCCACCCGTCAGTCAGAGTGGCTCGTGAAGATGTTGGTCAGTGACGGAGCGCATCAAGGCATTCTCATTCCTCATTTCCTGGCTGTCTCATGAATCAGCAAGTCTTTTCAGCATCACCTAACATGACAGGAAACCATCTCTGCTCTCGTCTCATCAGTTTCTAATTGAAGGCTGCGTTAAGGAATGAAAGTAACAAGAGCTATAGGGAGAGTCCTGTTTTAGACTCGGTTGTGAAAATGGATTTAATTCTTAAATTATTAGCCAACTTAATGCTGTGCTGACAATGGATCTGATGTAGCTATGTAACATAACCCTACAGCAAAGTGAATATCTTAATCAACAAACACAACTTGCTTGAGTGTATGAGAAGTCCCACAGTCATTTCTGAATTACACTTATTTAAAGCTATGATACCATATTGCCTTTAATGAAGGAGAAGAAAAAGTGGATATCCAGTTAGATTTAGCCCCATTTTAAGGACACTAGGACACACCACAGGCAATGCTAGGGGAGAAAAAGGTGGATACATAAACACAGGAGGTCGAGCAGTATCCGTTCAGTAGTAGAAAAGAAGAACAAGTTGTGAAAAGCCTCCAAAGCAATCTTGGAGAAATATTTTGTTAAAAGAGGTTTGTCTCATATAACATTCACATGCCATATACACATGGTTTTATTGTTCACCGTAGTTCTGTTCTACATACTGGCTATGACGTCTTAAACTTGCGCCCTAATCGGAACCCCATTTTAACCCTACGCTGCAACCTTCTGGTTGTTTCTGGTTACTGCGTAAGTTAGGATGTAGATTTCCTGCAGAAGTCTAAATCAAGCTTTACCTTCCATAAGTGGATCTCCAACAAAGAAGTGACAAAATCTTTGTTCCCTGGCAAAGTGCACGCCAGCGTTCAGACAAAGCTAGTATGAAGCTTTAGCGTTAAAAATAACCAGTCTCCTTTTCCACAAACAGCAGTTGCACATGAAGGCCTTGCAAGTATGTGGACCTGTCAAATGCTGATTGTCTTATCTAAGCTTCTCAGCATTTCTCTGTTTTTCCTTTTTTGTCCTTGCTCTAACACAAGTCTGTGTTAGTCCAACCAGCGTCAGGATACGGTCACATTGGAAACCCACAAATATTCACCTGATAGCTTGACTTAAGTTACAGTAACATATTTTTAGAACTTATTAGGTCCTAAGAGATTGTTTATGTATCTACACATCCTCTCCATTTTTGTTTTTCGTGTCTTTATAAAGGCCAACTTGAATCAAACAGCTCCAGCTACCCAAAAGTGTTGTGAGTAAATTTGTCTTCAATTTCTGATTGTTGGTAGCATGTCTTAATGATGACTTGGTGATGAGTGAGAACCTACACAGATCGTCATTAAAATTTTGGTGAAACTGCCAGCCTTTAAACTTTGAAACACACTATCAGCAAATCGTTTAACTTAGCTTAACTTTCCTTTGGATGATTTCCTTGGATGATTGAGCATCCATCAAGGCTTTACTGAAGCACTGTGCTACAATCTGTAATGTAACCTGATGTATATCTCCCTTGAAATGTGACTACACATCACCATCTGACCATCCCGCTGGCATAAATTCTGGAAATGGCTACTTACGTAGAGATCCCGCACACAATAGGAGTTTAGGCTTGACATGTCTTTTTACTGCAACCAGATGGCAGTCAAGTAATTTGGTTTAGAAAAATGAGTCGTATATCTACTGTTTTTTATTTTTTTTATTTATGAAGTTCCGAATTCTGAAAGCTGCAAATAACTCAGTTATCTTATCCATTTCGCATGAACAGTGCTGTTTTCAGACAGCGATGACACGATGGAAAAACATTATCCACCCTTATTCAGATTTTAGCATTCATGCAGTATTCTTGGATGGCTGTACACACTGCTAGCTTTATAGTTTAGCTACCTTTTCTGTGTTACCTAAATAGATTGAAACAGAATCATTGAAATTAGCAGATATGTAATTTCCTTTTTGTAGTTCTTTTTAATAAGTGGTTTGTAAAAGTCCTGATATTTCTTTCTTAAAAGTTACACACATGCTGGACAAATATGACAGTTTCATTTTGATAAATTTAGAATACAATGAGCTACAGCTCAATATTTGCTAAACCTTTATATGCAGGGTAGGGCGCTGATTCTACCGAGCAGCAGATATATGTGCATGTGAATATTGTACTGAGAAAAATTCAAACCTCTCCCTCAATAGAAAAGACAATTAAGAAATGACTTGCAGGGAACTTCTATGCTCATTTCCAGACCATGATATTTCTACTTTGGAACACTAGAGCATCATTGCATGATTTACAGTTTTTAAAATATAATTTCTTTAATCTTTTAAAAATCCTACCTGTAACCCTTCAGTCGTTTTAGACCAGGGGTGGGCAATTCCAGGCCTCGAGGGCCGGTGTCCTGCAGGTTTTGGATCTCACCTTGGGTCAACACACCTGAATCACATGATTAGTTCGTTACCAGGCCTCTGGAGAACTTCGGGACATGTTGAGGAGCTAATCTAGCCATTTAAATCAGCTGTGTTGGTTCAAGGACACATCTAAAACCTGCCCTCAAGGCCTGGAGTTGCCCACCCCTGTTTTAGACCCTCCCTACAAGCCCACTTTCTTCCAATTGTCTTGTTTCTGGAAGCCTGCAGAGGGGCAGGACCCAGAGCTTGTAAACTGTACTGACTGAATTATGACTGTAGCAGATGAAGAAAAGAAACTCATTCTGGTTGATGTCAGCTTGTACTGTGAGTTGACTGAAATCCTTTGGCTCACTGGCATTACATTTACATATGTTCATTGCATTAATATGTTTGCATTAATATATCTTAACACTAGACATACAAATCATAATAGGTCCTCTTAAAGGTAAATGTGGAAGAAGTCTTTTTAAACAGGACACCCAGGTGTTTGTTTGCTTTTTTGCCCAACAGCTGGGCAACAGAAACCCATCCTCAGCTGCATTTCCTTTGATAACAATGCAAAACTGGCAGGTTACAAATAACTGCTTTGTGTCTGTAGTCATAAAGACTCTGTACACAAACTGCCTGGCAAGGAAAATGAAGCCACATCTAAGGAATGAAAGATGCTTTTTTTGGTTTCTACTGTATTTCATTTTTATACTCTGATCCAGCTTTTGCGTATGGGTATGTTTTGTTTTTTTAAGTTTTTTAAGTTTTAGAGTCTAACACCAAGATAGCACCAACCATGTGAATGTCAAGAAACGTTTTTGAAACTATTTAAGAGGGCAGAAATAGTTTGTTTGTCTATTTATTGAAAAATTTTATTTATTTATTTATTTATTAATGTATTTATGTATTTGTGTATGTATTTATTTGCATTCCTGGATTATTTTCAATAATGGATATAGGTGGTTATAAAGACAGGGAAGTGTTAGTTAGATGTCTGGTACTGCAGACAAAAACTAAACAATTAGTCCAAAGTTTTTTTGTTTAAAATTCTAACATTTTAATGCTGCAAAACAGCCCTTTAAGCTTTATGTTGTGATTCTGCACTTTAGATTTATTTTGTTATTATTTTTGCCATTAGAGATGTCCATTTTATAATGCGAGACCAAGATTTCACACACATAAAATACCTTCAGTGCTGAGTCTTTGCCTCTTTTAGGTGTTTGTTCAGTTCGATTTTTTTTTCTTAATTGAGACCTCAAACGAAAAGACAGCAGGATGATAATCTGCTGGAATGTTATGTAATTACTTGTTGTAACAAAGAAGTCCGTGTTTCTGTGTGTCTCTATGTACAACACACACGCTAAGGCCTTTCAAATTAAAGGTCCTTTTCAGCCCAGTTAGATATGTGTCTTTGTGGATAAAAGGAGCATCATTATCTTAATTATTGAATTGATTTGAGTGGGAAAATTCCAGTTTGTCCACTAAATTGGCTTAGTAATTTGGCACCAAATTCATGTATTCTAGGTGGTTTTCTGCACTTTGTGTTTAGAACTAACTGGTAAATGTTAGCATGCTATTAGGCCCATCTAAAAAAAAGAACTTGGTGAGCATTATACCTGCTGAACATTTGCATATTAACAATATATACACATAGCAATTACAATCTTACTGTTTCAGAGCTACCAATGACTATTGCTGAGCTAACAGTTAGCTATCAGTTAAGAATTGGCATGTTTGGTTAGCATGGTGCATTTACAGACTGTGTGTAACTGTTGTGGGTACACTGCACACAGTTACTTCTTAATTATTACTAACAGTCTAATAAAATATAATTTCACTCTGAACAAAAGCCAAGCCATGTTATTTATCAAATAATTGCGTTAAACTGCTCTAGAATACCAGTACAGTGTCTCCAGTTAGCTGAGGTGATAGCTAGCAAAAGGCTACAGGCCTAACCCAGTCGCAAAACAGCCCTATTCATTCTTAATGTTATTATTAAGAAATTATGTAAGGGCAAGTTATATAAAGTGTCACCCCCTGGGATATTAGCTAACAAGAAAACAAATATTTATTTATTTTTGTACCACCGTGTAAATGAGTTTATTCTGCATTTTAATATGGAAATCGATGGGACTGATGTGGACATTTGAGGTACTGTAGTTTTTGGGCTTCTACTTTGGCTTCATATTTGAGCCCCAGAGGACGTTACTTGCTTGGCATGCTAACATTGACATTTAGCTCAAACACTGCCAAGTATTACAATGCTAACAGTTTACAGAGCAGTCATGTGCACTCCTTGTAAAACATTTTGTGTAGTTTCATGCAAACCAGCTTCATTCCTCACTGACCTTCAGGCGTGTTTGTCATTACATCTTTTTTTTCTCCTTCTTTTTTTTTGCTATATTCCTGGTTGCTTTTACAAATTCTGCTTCAGCTGCCTATAAATAGTTTAAAAGAAGAAGCTGCAAAATGAAAGTTTTCACAGCAGAGCCCCTCATGACGTTTTGACATCTTTCCCTTTTAGTGGATACAATCACTTGTGCTGTCTTCAAAAATTTTATTTTTTTCCATTCCCATTCTCATAATGTACACCTGTGGGAAAACCCAGCAGTGAGATCCACACACCTGACAGGTCAGAGTTTGGCGAGTGTTAAAGTTGCACACTCAAATACACAAAAGGTAGTGTTAGATCTTTTTATTAAAACAAAGGTTCATCTTTCATCCACTTAGAAGAGAAAAAGAGCTAAAGGATTGAAATAAGAAGAGGAAAGGAACCTTCTAAATTTTGCTCCACTGAGCAAACACTGCATTTTAATCCATTCAAAGACACAACAGGGCGCTTGGCTTGATTGCGCAAAACTCCCTTATTGAAAGAAATCTCCCCCCTCACTCATTTCCTCCTTTATCCTCCACCTATTCACTTAAGATTTTCTACATTTTCCTCCTCCCATTCCTCCCCTTTGTATTCCTGGACTCCTGCTCCACCCATCCTATCCCTCACCACATGCACATATCTCACCTCCGTATATAACCACCCCTCTTGTATACATTTTATACCCAGTATACTTCGACAAAGATGCTGTATACATTTGTATACGCTGTGTGCCTGTCTCCATTGTATGCCATCCATATCTATGTAGCGTTCACTATGTTTTATTGACACTGTAGTCACCATACAATTCTTCCTCTCATCATTATTGCTCATTCTTCTTCTGCAGTTAAAGTTGTACGACTATAATCTCCTATCATGTCCCTCCTCCATGTCCGCCCTTGCTCC